TTTAAGCATTGGCCCACGCCTCAGACACACCCTTAGTGTTGCCAGCTTCACCAGAGGAGTTGACCCACGGGCTGTGGCAATGCGGGAGTGCACGGGGGATGTTTTTCCTTGTTTGTTTTTCCTGGTGGCAGAAAGGACTGAACAGAGGAATTGTCACAGTTTTACTGGTCTTGTTAGATGTTTGGACTCGTGAACCATGGCCTTAAATCGGGCACATACCAAGGCATGACGTTTTCATCCAGCAGAATCCATGCGGGTTGACTTTTCAGACTCGCTTTCACAAGGCTTCCGCACAGTCAGCAGCGTCTCTGAAATGATTGGCCTCCAACCTATCACAAAATGCCCTCCAAGAAGGTATATACACAGTGTTACTGCCCATTGATCCCTTTGGCTTTTCAACACTATTTGGGAAGCAGGCATATTACACACTTTGGACATGTGGTGAAATCGAACCGGGGGGGCGGGGAAATTGGAATTTCCTTTTTCCAAGAGGTTTGGGTTCGGTCAAAACAAGGGTTGTTTCTTGGGCCCAGGGCGTGTTTATGACTCGGGCCGAGTGACCACTTGCGTGCCTCAGCCGCAGGTGCCATCCGGAGAAGGCGGAGGCTTGTCGGTCAGTTGGGATGCATGCTCCTCGTTTGGAAAGAAAGGCCAATGTATTTCCTCCTGCAAATTAACACAGAACCTGAAAACTGCCCTTTTGTAGAGTACTCTCCTTTTTGGGGGACCTTTTCGACCAATCCCAACTGGCGTGAAGTGGATTTTGTCCACCCACGTATTCCCCCCAGTTAAACTGAGTTTCCTTTGGTCGGGTGATGTTTCAAGGAATAATCTAGGCAAACCTGTTGGGGCTCGCGTGAGTTGGAAAGCATCAACGTCGTGTATAGAAGTATATGTTTGTTGTTTACCTCTTTGTGGGCTGGACCTTGGTTTGAACAACAAATTGTCGGGCAACGCTGGTGCCGGTGCCGCTATTCACACTTTTTTTTCCCGCCGCTAGTCACTTGTTCCAAAGCCGACCTTCAAAGCTTGTGACTCCCTTTTTGTTGGTGAAGAAATGTTCACAGGGTCCTGCAAAGTATGTGTATAAATTTAGCTCAACTAAAGCATCACCGTTACCTGCTGATTGAGCGAATGCGCTTGTAAGCCAGGTGATTTGCGGACACTTCCTAGGAACTTTGTTTCATGGCCAAAAGAAAGGATCAGTCATGGCTGGCCATGACCCCCAAACGGTCCTACTCGTTTGGTCCTGGGCCTGGGACAAGTTGCAGCCTGCTCTTCCCTTGCTTGTTTTCGCAATGATCCCAGAATCAAGCAAACCTTCCTTGGTGGTTTGGATTAGGGGATTTGGGGATTGAACCCCCGGTTCTTGTAAAGGGTAAGGGGAAGCCACCCCCCCAACCACGAAACCACCAATCCAAACCACCAAATAGAGGGAAGATCCGGTTATCACATTTGTTCGGGTCCTTTCGTCCCACTGGCCCTTGGTTTCGCAGTGATTTCGCAGGCGATGGCTGGGGCGATTTCGAGCTGGGCGACGCCCCTGAGCCTTGGCTCAGATTGGCAAAGGCTAAATGTATGAACCCCTAGCCTAAATTCCCAGTCTCAGTGTGCAGGTTTCTTTTCTGTCAAGGGAAGCCACGCTTGGATATATCAGTCTGTGTGTGTGTGTGGTTTGGCTGAAGGCAGACATGAGGAACAAACGATGTCAACCAACCGCTGACTAGTTAGTTGAGAACATGTGCTAATTTTATGGGTCGCTCGCCTGGCAGCAAAACAAGCTGACCCTAAAGCTCCTTTTAGCAAGGTATCGCGCGTTTGTTTCACTTGCTTGAAGTCAATGATAAAACACCAAATATCCGTGGGCAACTGAATAGCCCCAGATAACCATCCATGACAATAAGTTTGCAGATACTCCAGGATAACTCAACTAACAAGCCATCCTAGATTCGTCTTGGGTCTGATGGGTTGATTTTTCCCTTGTCACCCCCAAAAAGCTCGGATGGAATCGAATCCCTTCGCGCACAGTTTGCTCGCCGCGAGCGCAGGCGCCCGAGGCGAAGGTCGAAGAGGTGCAGTTGCAGCAGCTCGGCATTACCCGGGTGGTAGCCCAGACCTCCGAAGGGTTGGTTTCGAGCCCCTTTTTCATCTGTTTTGTGTTGGGGGATCGAGGGTTTTTCATCTGTTTTTTCGGGGACCAAGTTGTCTTTTTGGGGGTTCCCTTTTTTGGGGATGATTATTTCATCTACCTTCGTTTTGGAGGTTTGTTTCTCTAAGCCAACTACCAAGGGAGAGTGCCATTTCTTTCCCATTGCGGGAAACTGGTTGATCTACCCCCCCTTGCAGGTTGGCGTGGCACTTGACAGGGGACTTTTCAAGAGGCAGGTGATATCTTTGTGCCAGGGCTAGGATGATTTAGGGCCATTTTCTATGATGAAAGGGAACCTCTCTTAACATCGCGAGGCAGTCAAAGCCAGCCAGCTACTACAGAAGGGCATATTTCCCATCCCCCCAAGCAACTCAACTGAATGTTTCTGAGGGCAAGGGACACTTTTCGGGACTTCGATGCAGAATGGCACTGTGTTTGTTTCTTAGCTGGGAATGAAGTGAAGCGTACAAATTTCAGATTATCTTGTTCAATGACGTCGGAATTAAACATAAGGAGACTGGCTCCACCATGCCTGCCCAACATGTCAAGCATCAGCCGCACTCTACCGCCACGCTTCCTCCACCGCTGCCACACCACCGCCACGCTTCTACCAAGCTTCCGCCACATTGCCGCCACGCTGCCGTCACACTCCTGCCACACTGCCACCACACTTCCGCCACACTTCCGACATTTGTTTGAGAGAGGACCTCAAAGGCATGTCAGAGCCTCTCCCCAATCAGATGATCCCAATATTCACTGTTGGGATCCCACCTATTTCCGGTTAATTGTGTCATTTCCAAGAGTCATGTCCCGAAGCTGGCCTCGAAGCGGCTTTGCTTGAGGTTTGTACCTGGAGGGCGGCACAAGGATTGATTCCCGCGCAGTCCGGGCTGGACTATTTTGCCACATGCTGCCAGTATACATTGCCCGGACGCATGCTTGGCCGTTTGCTTAGGTAGGGATAGTCTGAACCATGAATGAGCGCCCAACACCCCAAAAATTAAAAGGCCATCTTACTAGGTGCTTCTTCTACTACCTGGCTCAGTAGCCCACTGTATGCACAAATCAGTAAAACCATGGTGGCACAACCAACGGCTTTGGCCGGTGCTCTTCCTATGCCGCCGGCCTAGGCAGTCCCAAGAGGCGCTGAGCCAAAGCCAGCGACAAGTCGCCGAGTTGGAGGCGAAACTACGCGAGGCCCCGCTCTGATTGTGGGTCCGGGGTCTAAAGGGAGGTCTGGATAAAACTGAGTCAGATTGCCAGTGTCATTTTTATTGGGTGGCAGTGGGATGTTGACAGTCGTTGTTCGTCATTTCAAATTGCCAGACTTAGCTTGCCTTGTTGACTGAGGGCTTCTTGAGTTGCCATCATGTCCCTCTTACCAGCAACCATCTACAAAACACGCAGCCATTTAGCTTGTGGGGGGTTGAATCCTGGAGGCTAGAACCCTTTGGGACCAAGCGCCTTGTACAAAACAAGTCTCCAGTGCACTTCTGCCTTTGTCTTCGTGACAAAACGGTTGGTTGTTTCACGCTAGTGCTATATTTGAGATCAGCTTTGATTCGTGATTTTGCAATTTGGGATCCCTCCTCTACTCCCCGGAAACGAGACCCCCTACTAGTAAGAAGCCCGGAGGACTTGGTGCTTGGTGGTTTTGGAGGCCTTGGTTTCCTCCCACATACCCCCAGTCGTTCAGTGGGCGCCATCTCTTCTTTGCTGAGTTCCACACCGATGTGGTCAATTTGTCTGATAGGGTCACGAGGTGACTGGGTGCCCTTGATGCATTTGTTTTATAGGATGGTTTTATGAGATTCTTCTCCAGGCGTGTGGAAGGGAGGAGCAGCTGCAAAGGATGCAGGCGCGATGCCTTTGGTCGCTGATGTTTTCAGCCACCCGTGCACATGGCAAGGGCCCGAAGGCAAATATGCATCTTGCTGCAGTTGGAGGCTTGCTGGTTCTATGTCTTCTAACATGTTTTTTTCTCTGGGCCTCTTGGTTTGCCTTCTGCAAAAGTTGGGAGCTTTTGACCAGCTCCCCAGATTCTCCCAACACCTGCCAGGAGCAGCTGGCCGCCTCTGCCCAAAAGGCAGAGGAGTGCTTTGCCCCAGCGCGACGACGGCGAAGCGCTTGCCCGGAGTCACTCGAAACTAGTCTTCGGGGGTCAGTTTCCCTCTTGCGCCCACGAAGTGAAGGGGAAACAGAGTCAGTGCCGGGTTCCCTTAAACCCACGAAGTGAAGGGGAAACATCTGAATTTGAAGGGTCAGTCTGACAAGAGGGTCATGTTGAAAGCGGCCGAACACCGCCTCCAGCATCTCGCCCCTGGTAAGCCCATGGCCCGGGATGCGTACGACGACTAAGGCGCCGAGCAGAGTTGGAGGCACGCCTCGCCCAGCTGGAGCATGCGCGGGGCCACAGACCTGAGAGGTGCAATGAGGATCAAGCAGAAGTTTGTGACCTCTTTAGTTTTCATAGTTGGGAACCTGAGTTGCTAGCGTATGTTCATCAATTTAGACTGAGGTCACTAAGTTGTTTAAGCTTTTCAGTCAACTTAGCGGGTCAGGGGCCGATATGCAGGTCAGTGGCACCCACTAAATTCGATTGTTTGGGGGGTGCCCTCACAAAAATCGCAAAAATGCCATCAACCCCGAACAGAGTTTCCTGTTTCTACCAGTGTGGCTGGGCAACTGAGAGTAGCTGTCAGTTTTAATATGTGTTTTTTCTTGACACCCTTGTGGTTCCTCAAAAAAAAAAACAAGCAGTGGACCGGAACCAGAGAGCATCGCTCCGACCAGGAAGCCGCTCCGGCCATATCCGGCCCAAAGCTGTCCGCGTGCCTTCCTCTTTTTCACCATGGCGCTCTCCTTTGCCCGCGCCTTGTCTCGCCCGCTGAAATCTCAGCTACTCAGGCCGAGCGCGAATCTTGTGACGCGGCCCGGCTCGGTGCGGAGCTACATCACGGTGCAGAAGTACGGCAGGGACGATGTGCTCACGCACTTGGATGAGCCTCGTCTTCAGCCTTATAAAGATGTTTGTCGGGTTGCTGTGATTGGCACTGTGGTGCACTGTGGGCACCTTTTGTTGGGCCTCCCAGTATTTGCACAAAAATGGGGGCCTTTTCAGGAATTGACCGAGTGGAGAAGTTACGAGGGCGGGGCATGGTGGGAAGTTATGAGTGGCTATGAATTCAAGAGGGAACCACCTCAAAAGTGGTTGGTGGACATGAATCCCCAGCTAAATGATGTCCAAAGGGGCCAGGACCCATGAACTTTCGCACCCAGTCGGGTCGCTTTCACTCAAAGTGAGGCGTATCACGCGACGGTGATGAGCACCAATTGGGCGGACTACTTGAACCTGGTCTACTCGGTTCCCTTCTGGGAGGCGGAATTGGAGAAGCTGACAGCCCAGCTGCAAGTGGCACTTGCTTGTTTTGTTTGTTTGTTTTATTTTTTGGGCTGGTTGGTTGCTTGCTTGCTTGCTTGCTTGTTTGCTTGCTTGCTTGCTTGCTTACTTGATTGCTGCTCGCTTGCTTTTTGGGTTGTTTGGTTGGTTGCTTGCTTGCTTGGCTGGTTGGTTGGCTGGTTGGTTGGCTGGTTGCGTGCTTGCTTGGCTGGTTGGTTGCTTGGTTGGTTGCTCCGGCCAAGGTTCCCTTTCAAATCCAGCAGGTCCTCTTTGGGTTTGTTGATATTTTGTCGGGGTCCCTTTAAAACATGCCACCGTGCGTTCGTTCTCCCCGAGCGTTCCGCAAGCGCCAACCACCAAAACATCACGAGCTCAATTGCCAACCTTCCTGTCACATCCCCCCCAAACAAAACAACAACAGCTAGGGTGGTTCAAGGATATGATGCTCAACCAGGCTGTCCCTTGTTTGGTTGCCACTCAAGGACAAGCGTGGTGCAGCCCTACCTGCATGAGAAGGAGGTTGGCGCAAAGTTTGCGGAAGTGCAGGAGATGATGGACGTGTTCTATGAGTGCGAGGACGCTGTTTCTGTACGGCTGGGAAATGTTCAGTTGAGGAAATGCCACCTTCCACCATGCTATCTTCGTTTGAAGGGAGGGGAATAAGCTTAGTCTCTCAGGATTTGTCCGCATTGGTTTCAACAAGGCACGGCCTTCTAAACTCTCAGGACTGGGCAAAGGAATGGTTCCAACAAGTCAAGCGTGGCCTCGGCTTCGGCATTGGGCAAACATGTGAACCACCCCTCCCACGGCAAACCTCCTTCCGGGGGGGGGGGGTCTTTCGCGACGAGGACGTCCGTGACCACCTCAACGAGCTGGCAGAGTTGGCGACCCGCGCCTCCGGATTCATGGGCACAGGCGGGCCTTGAGGGGCATAGGGAGTCGGCGGGTTTCTCAGTGGATTCCACACAATGACAGCAGGGGTTGAGGACTAGTCAATCGCTTCTTGCTTGTTTGGTTTCTTTGGTGGGTGCTTTGGGCATGGGAGGGACCTCAAAAAGGCGGTCCTTTTGGCAAAACCAGGGTTACTGAGCAGCTGGCTTGCGTTCATGCTCTTGTCGTTCATGATAGCCGCCCTTTGCTCACGGCGGCGCCACACGCGGCATTGTCGTTAGCCCTTACATTCGCAGCAGGATGCATTTTCCTCTCTCCAATCTTGGAAGTTGACAGGGTTTCGGAAGACATGCTTTCCCTTTGAGATGGTTTGGGGTGTGACTCGGTGAGTCAAAACAGCTTTGTCTTGCAGTGCTTTGGGCGGCGAGTTTTTATGCTTGCCGGGGGCTATCAAAGTCAGAGGGTGCGGTTGTTTCCCTTGAACCTGTTAGGGGCGACTTTGATAATGGTAAAATAATCCTGGCAGTTTAAAGTTTGTGTTTGGGGGGGACACAAAGGCACTCTGTGCCTTGGTTGGTGACAATGGATTGCTCCACTGCAGATGGACATGGAATGACATGCAGCCGAAACAGATGCTGGGTTCTATTGCAAGGAAGTATTTCGGATTGGTGACACTGCAAGTAGTGCAGAGCTGAATGTTCTGTTAGGCTTGTCCATGTTCAAATGGTGCTCTGGATGAACATCGCTTCACACCAAGCACCGCTTAGTTGCAAAGACCGGGGTGGCGGATGACGCTGTCGCCGCACGCAGGATTCCAAGCAGAGGAGAAGGTGGAGAACATGGACGACCATGCGAAGCAGCGCCTTGGTTCGATGCATCTCGTTGGTTCTTGACGCTTGGCATTCCGTAGGCCAAGCCCCACCGATGTTCGCCCTTTGGGGGGGGGTGATTTGTAGGAAAGCCGACGGGGAGCCACCGGATTTTCGGAGGTTCCAAGGGTGCCAAGTAAATCGATCGAGGTGCGCAGAAGCCTATGGCAAGCTCTTGGAGAAGCACCCGGACTTCAAGCCGAAGATCGAGCAGACCCTTTGTGTGAAAGAGTCGCAAAGTCCAGAGTTTGGGTGTGCCTTTTGTGAAGGGAACCCTTGTGAAAGGCACGCCTCACAGAAAGGCCCCCCCCTATACCTGGATCTTCCTGCATGCTCAAAATTTCCGCCTTTTCGCTACGAATTGCTTTTTGGGGCAATTGCGCGTGTTTTTTTGCCTACGGCTTTTTTTGCTCAATTTGGGTGTTAAGCGAAATCTCCCCGAATCTACAGGCGAAAATTCCCGACCAACAGGCGAAAACTCCCGACCAACAGGCGAATATTCCCGACCGCGGCGCAAACAAATAGGACCGCCGGCGTTTTTTCGCTTTAAAAGCATTTTTTCATACCAAAGGCAAAAAACACATGTTTTTTGACCAACGCCTAAAATTTTGGACCCCCGGAAGGTGCAGGTACTGGCCCAGCCCGATATATATGAGCCACGGACAAAACACACGAAGACCACTTTATCAAGGCGGGGTACGTTTTTGCATAACACATGCCAAAACCATGGAAAACGATAAGGTCTCCCCCAAAAACGATAACCCTTAGCTAAAACACGGCTCTATAATAACCCCTGCAGTTGCAACTTAGTTAGGGTGGGACCCTTGCGTGGCCACCGTAAAACGAGAAGGCGAGTCGCCACTTTCGAACTGGAGCTGCCAAGGTGTGCTTCGTAAATACGACACTTGTACTACAAAGTTGAGATTTTCGAGTTGGAGCTGCGGAAGTGTACTTCGCGTACTAGACTTGTACTACAAAGTTGCGATTTTCGAGTTGGAGCTGCGGAAGTGTACTTCGCGTACTAGACTTGTACTACAAAGTTGCGATTTTCGAGCTGGAGCTGCGGAAGTGTACTTCGCGTACTAGACTTGTACTACAAAGTTGCGATTTTCGAGCTGGAGCTGCGGAAGTGTACTTCGCGTACTAGACTTGTACTACAAAGTTGCGATTTTCGAGCTGGAGCTGCGGAAGTGTACTTCGCGTACTAGACTTGTACTACAAAGTTGCGATTTTTGGAGCTACAAAGTTGCGATTTTCTGGAGCTGCGGAAGTGTACTTCGCGTACTAGACTTGTACTACAAAGTTGCGATTTTCGAGCTGGAGCTGCGGAAGTGTACTTCGCGTACTAGACTTGTACTACAAAGTTGCGATTTTCGAGCTGGAGCTGCGGAAGTGTACTTCGCGTACTAGACTTGTACTACAAAGTTGCGATTTTCGAGCTGGAGCTGCGGAAGTGTACTTCGCGTACTAGACTTGTACTACAAAGTTGCGATTTTCGAGCTGGAGCTGCGGAAGTGTACTTCGCGTACTAGACTTGTACTACAAAGTTGCGATTTTCGAGCTGGAGCTGCGGAAGTGTACTTCGCGTACTAGACTTGTACTACAAAGTTGCGATTTTCGAGCTGGAGATGTGGAAGTGTACTTCGCGTACTAGACTTGTACTACAAAGTTGCGATTTTCGAGCTGGAGCTGCGGAAGTGTACTTCGCGTACTAGACTTGTACTACAAAGTTGCGATTTTCGAGCTGGAGCTGCGGAAGTGTACTTCGCGTACTAGACTTGTACTACAAAGTTGCGATTTTCGAGCTACAGTGTACTTCGCGTACTAGACTTGTACTACAAAGTTGCGATTTTCGAGCTGGAGATGCTTCGCGTACTAGACTTGTACTACAAAGTTGCGATTTTCGAGCTGGAGCTACGGAAGTGTACTTCGCGTGCTAGACTTGTACTACAAAGTTGCGATTTTCGAGCTGGAGCTGCGGAAGTGTACTTCGCGTACTATGCTTTTACTACAAAGTTGCGGTTTTCGAGCTGGAGATGCGCAAGTGTACTTCGCGTACTAGACTTGCACTACAAAGTTGCGATTGTAGCTGCGGAAGTGTGCTTCGCGTACTAAACTTGTAGAGCTGGAGCTGCGGAAGTGTACTTCGCGCACTAAACGTGTACTACAAAGTTGCGATTTTCGAGCTGGAGCTGTGGAAGTGTACTTCGCGTACTAGAGTTGTACTACACAGTTGCGATTTTCGAGCTGGAGCTGTGGAAGTGTACTTCCCGTACTAGACTTGTACTACAAAGTTGCGATTTTCGAGCTGGAGCTGCGGAAGAGTACTTCGCGTACTAGACTTGTGCTACAAAGTTGCGATTTTCGAGCTGGAGATGCGGAAGTGTACTTCGCGCACTAGACTTGTACTACAAAGTTGCGATTTTCGAGCTGGAGCTGTGGAAGTGTACTTCGCGTACTAGACTTGTACTACAAAGTTGCGATTTTCGAGCTGTCGCTGCGGAAGTGTACTTCGCGTACTAGACTTGTACTACAAAGTTGCGATTTTCGAGCTGGAGATAAGTGTACTTCGCGTACTAGACTTGTACTACAAAGTTGTGATTCTCAAGCTGGAGCTGCGGAAGTGTACTTCGCGTACTATTCTTTTACTACAAAGTTGCGATTTTCGAGCTGGAGCTGCGGAAGTGTACTTCGCGTACTAGACTTGTACTACAAAGTTGCGATTTTCGAGCTGGAGATGCGGAAGTGTACTTCGCGTACTAGACTTGTACTACAAAGCTGCCATTTTTCCAGCTGGAGCTACGGAAGTGTACTTCGCGTACTAGACTTGTACTACAAAGTTGCGATTTTCGAGCTGGAGCTGCGGAAGTGTACTTCGAGTACTAGTCTTTTACTACAAAGTTGTGGTTTTTGAGCTGGAGTTGCGGAAGTGTACTTCGCGTACTAGACTTGTACTACAAAGTTGTGATTCTCAAGCTGGAGCGACGGAAGTGTACTTCGCGTACTAGACTTGTACTACAAAGTTGCGATTTTCGAGCTGGAGCTGCGGAAGTGTACTTTGCGTACTAGACTTGGTGCAAGTTGCGATTTTCGAGCTGTAGCTGCGGAAGTGTGCTTCGCGTGCTAGACTTGTACTACAAAGTTGCGATTTTCGCGCTGGAGCTGCGGAAGTGTACTTCGCGTACTAGACTTGAACTAAGTTGCGATTTTCGAGCTGGAGCTGCGGAAATTGTACTTCGCGTACTAGACTTGTACTACAAAGTTGCGATTTTCGAGCTGGAGCTACGGAAGTGTACTTCGCGTACTAGACTTGTACTACTAAGTTGCGATTTTCGAGCTGGAGCTGCGGAAGTGTACTTCGCGTACCAGACTTGTGCTACAAAGTTGCGACTTTCGAGCTGGAGCTACGGAAGTGTACTTCGCGTACTAGACTTGTACTACAAAGTTGCGATTTTCGAGCTGGAGCTGCGGAAGTGTACTTCGCGTACTAGACTTGTACTACAAAGTTGCGATTTTCGAGCTGGAGATGCGGAAGTGTACTTCGCGTACTAGACTTGTACTACAAGTTGCGATTTTCGAGCTGGAGATGCGGAAGTGTACTTCGCGTACTAGACTTGTACTACAAAGTTGCGATTTTCGAGCTGGAGCTGTGGAAGTGTACTTCGCGTACTAGACTTGTACTACAAAGTTGCGATTTTCGAGCTGGAGCTGCGGAAGTGTACTTCGCGTACCAGACTTGTACTACAAAGTTGCGATTTTCGAGCCGGACCTGCCAAAGTTCGAAAACACTGTAAAACGATAAGGTCTCCCCCAAAAACGATAACGTTCAGAAAAGTACTAGAGCCAAGCTAAGTGTTTCGTCCGCTCCTCATATATATATATATACATATATAAATATATATACATATCATCACCTTTTTCATAGAATCCACTCCCCCTTCCCGTGACCCCCCCTTCAAGCAAGGTGTTAATGAAACCGTATTGGGGCAAATAGCGGAAGCAGGGGATGGGAGAGAGCGGTTCGAGTCCGACTCTTTTCGGCCGTGCGGAGACTTTCCCTCGGGGAAGGTCCGTTCAAGTGTTCTTGGTTCGGATGGTGTGCACCCAGTTGAGGTGCAACTTCAGGCTGCCTGAGGAGTTGCGTTTACTTCTCGAACAGGCTTTTTGGGGCGCAGACAAATATGGATGCAGGCCCAATCTGCGAACTTCTTGCGGTTCGTGGGTTTCTTCGCTTGTTGCTGACTCCATTTGGGGGGAAAGAGCTCCTTGGATGCCCCCTCATTTGAAGGACAACTTTGAAAGTGTCATGCTAGTGGGCCCAGAAGAACAGATACACCTGACCAGCGAGCTATGAGAGCTATGAGGACCGTTGGGCACGGCTTGGCCATCCTTCGGCAGAAGCACAAGTTCAAGTTCGGCAGCATGCACCGCTACTTCTACTGAGCGGCTACTGGGAACGCTGCCTAGTACGGCCTGAATTGCGCCGGTGTATATCTGATTGCTTCTTACGTGAGACAAGCGACTGGTTAAAATGTGCAAGCGTTCGCGGCCTCGACTTTTGTTGGATGACTGGCTCCGGGCATTGGGGCTTCTCAGCTTGGGCCACACCATACTTTTTGCTTTACAACGCAGGTGCATTTTGAATCCCAAAGCCCATATTCGAGGGCCAGTTACATTGACATAGCACAATGTGATAGCTACAATGCACACATTTGTATGCATATAATATGTATGAGTTTACGCCACTCCCGCTCAAAAAGGAAAATAATGGGCGAGTACGCACTGTTATGTTTGTTTCTGGCTTAGCTAATCCCCAGCTGAAGCTACCAACTGCTCCAAGTCCTTCTCCAGTCCTTCCCAGTCCTCCGTCCTTTCTGGCTTGGATTATTTCAGGGCATGTTGGCTCATATTTTGCATATGCCTCATAATCAGAGAGAGAGAGAGAGAGAGAGTCAGAGAGAAGGTCACGCTTGGGATGATCCAAGGGTTGTTTTCCAAGATCATTTCGCCGAGCTCGTTACGGCCTTGGGAGTGCTCCATGTGTCAAGAGTTTGCGTTTTTTTAGTTGCACAGCGAGGTGTTTAGAGCATTAGGTGATTCTGCGAGCCTGTATGGGGGGATTGGGGCTCGCTTCATTGGCGAGCGCTCAGGGACGAGCAAACGGGCTATTCTGGGTATGGTAGAAATGAAAGGTACTGTTGCTCACTCCCCGAGTTTTTGAACTTCAAACTTTTGGAAGACCACCCTAGTGGTAAGCAACCATTTCGGGCTTTTGTCGGCTGTCGGCCCATCGTGAGGTTTTCGACAAGATGTTGCAAGCAAGCCTTGCCGGACAGAGAAGCGTCAAGGTTGAAGCCATTGAGAGCTCGCAGTGTCTGAAGGCCGAAACGGCAGCTGCAGCTCCTCCAGGCGGTGAAGGCACAGATCTTGGGCATGGTTGTGGGAAATGACCACTTCTGTGATACAGCAAAAAGGGCTTCCCAAAGACTAACACCCCATATAAAGGGGGAGATTCCCTTGTATCACAGAAGTGGGAATAAACCCCTTGATTCCACAACCCTGATCTTGGGGAAAGAACCTCCTCCTCCCACTGAGCTCCTTCCTGGTTTCTTTCGCACGAGTGTGCTCATTGAGTCAGCACGGATCAATGAGCCCAGCAAATATGGCTACGTTCGGCCCCTTTTGGACTGGGGTCATTACTTTGACTATGTTTGCAGTAAGGAAGTCAGAAACTGGGGTGGTTTCCCTTCAACCTATCACTTGGGGGGTGACTTTGATAATGGTAACATACTGGGGCCAGTTGGAAGACTGGTGTTTTGGAAAGGCGGGAGTGCACCTCCATTGGCGGGAGGGTAATGGGCTTCGACAGGCCCCGGATCAGACAAAAAGCCCACTGCATCGACTTGGCTGTGGACCGTGAAGGGGCATTTCTGGGAAGCCTACTTTTTAGGCGGCCAAACAGTTTGATCTTTGATTCCTAAAGGAGGCTTCTTTGAGCATTTGGATGGGTTCTGAAACAAGCACAGCTCACCAAACATTGGGCAAGACAAGCCGTGTCATGATAATACTTGCTTTCTTTCAGCCGTTACATTTGTTTTGGACGGTTACATTTCTTTGTTCAGATTGGTAGCTTCTGTTCAAACGCAGCACTCCTCAGATTGACGTGGAAACCAAAGGCTTCCCCGAAAGGAGATTGCTCCAATGTTAGTCAGGGGAGTACTGTAGGTTCATCATTGTGCCAATATGCCCCGCTTTCATTTGCCTAGACTCCAGAACAGAACCCATGTTTGCCAGGAATGGCCATTTACCAGGGGAGTAGGTCACCGGTTTACAGAAAAATGGTCTGCTTAACAAGTTTCGGAGGGTCTTCTTCGGGCGCAGGTGGCTGGGATGACTTTGACCTCGACATTCCAGCCAAGGCCTGCCCGTGTATTTGGCAGCTAGGGGGCACTTAGACGCCCTTTGGAGTCTCTTTCTTACAGGGTTTTGGGTAGACGTTTCTGATACCAGGCTTTGATTGTGGCTCACATGAGGTTGGATCACAACTTTCAGTGCATGGTCCATTTGGGATGACCATGGGGCTCGCGAATTTTCACATGTTAACAGGGTAAGAGTAATTTTTGATCGTGGCTCACATCAGCAATTAAACAGCTGATTGTTTGGTCTACTATTGGCTTGGCGAGGACGAGGAGGGGGGGACAACACAAAATTCCCACGAAAACCAGGAACATGGACAGCACCAATTTCTGTGGAAACAAGTATCTTTGTTTGGGGCTCGCATAGTCATGGACTTGTGCTGCCCGTCTCAGCCTGCGGCTTTGCCAGGAAGCCTCGCCTGAACCAAAGACAGGAGGCCGCGGGTGATGCTGAAGAATGCAAGCACGGAATGGAGTGATAGTGGCGTAAAACAGACATCTGGAGCAGGAGTGGCCGCCTTCGAATTTTCTGCAACATGAGTTCAGGTACTACAAGGGCCCAATCTCGGGGTGAAGCGGAGTTTAATACTAAGCCAAGTCATGGTCATAGAGTATAACTTCCCACCAATCAACGTGGAACCTGACAGGGAAATGGTCCCTTTAAGCGCAAGATGGTCCACACCAGGACCTCCCAAACGTCAGGTTCCATGTCATGTGCAAAGGGCGGAGGGACATGTGTGGTGATTTTTGAAATGGCCCGTAACCAACCTCGCTTTTACCAGGTTTCGGTTGTGGCAAATCGGGGAAGCTGTAGTCTCGCGGCCAGAGACGGTCCCCACTGCGTATAGGTTGCGGGCTTCACTACACGACAATTCCTCCCCCCCTCAAATCTTTTCCGTTTTCAGGCATGAGGGGAATCGCCTATGTGCGGGAGGGCAGGGGACTCTTTTCTGGAGATGACCCATGGCTTGGGCAATTGAGTTGCTTTGGATGTCACTCCCAATATATTGGCTCAAAATTAAATAGGAGGGGCTAAACCGCAGGTTTTGGTCCATGTTTCCACTTACCAGGGTTCCATTTTGGTACCGGTTTTTTGAGCCATATGGGTTGTTGGAGTGGCCAGGCGGTGATGCCTGTGCAGTCGGTACTAGACAAAATTGATGCGACAGAGTGCAAATCAACAGAGGAAGACCTGAAAAGGGGGCCCAAATTCCCGAACAATGACTTCTTGGGGTCCATCTCAATTGCACAAGGCCAGCAAAAGAAGAATGCATGTTGCGTGGCCTAGGAAGGGTCGTTCTTTGGTTTTGTTTTGCTGCCTAGCATGTTCACCTTGTTTGAGGTCAGCCCTTTGTGCCATTTTGGGCCCTAGCAGTATGTTCACATAGCGCCAGGTGACGGCTGGGACGACTTTGCTCTCGACGAGCCCCAGGAGAGGGAACTCGGCCGCAAACCTGGTTTTGTTTGACCATCATGGGTCTTCCTTCGGCTAACAAATAGGTTGGGGCTCGAATTTCCTTCATGTCCCTTTTGGAAAGTGTTGCAGTTTCAAGGGGCACCACCGGTCATTTGCAGCTTTTCAGCGGGAAATCCAGTCACCCCTGTAAACTGCACAGGCGCCCGTTTTGCGCGGTTTGCGCGGAGGGGGTTTGGCAGATAGGAGCCAAAGCCGGAAGTGCAGCTGAAGGAGCTTCAGGCCTGGAGCGGATTGAACGAATTTCACGGAAGCCCCATGGGTTTCCTCTGTTCCATTTAGGACCTCCCACAGGTGGCAGGTTCAATGGACACCACAAGTCCATCAATTGCAAGCTGTGCAAGGGGAAACCTGTCACTTGTTCGTTTGCTTTTTTCCCCCGGGTGAAGGTTGGCAACATACGGAACAGAAACTGAACCTGGAGTAGCCCAGATGTGGGCCAGGCTCGCGTGCTGACATGAAACCCAAGGTCCAACACAAGGGTGTTGCCTGGTAATGCCACACCCTTTCCCTGCAGACAATGAGCCGAATCAGCCTTTTTACCATCTTTGTGGGGAAGATGTGCATGGTACCCTAACGACCCATGCAGTTTCAGGATCGGATTTGTGGTTTGGCATCGCCAGAAGCAACGGACCTTTTTGCAAAACATGGTAGCAAACGCATATATATATATATATATGGTACCCCCCCCCCCCCCAGGGACCTACCTTTTTGATGAATTCACTGGTATTTGCAGTGTTTTCTACCCTTTTTTGGCCTTTGGGGAGAGCAATGAAAAAGAAGCATTTCCAAGGACGTTCTGGAAGCTTCAGGCTTGATTGAAACCGATTTAAACCGATTTAATTTAAATCGGGCATGGATTCAAGCTTCAAGATTCAAGAATCCAGGCCAAACTTTTCCAGGGATTCTTGAATCCAGGCGTCGATTTAAACCGATTTAAACCGATTTAACTTAAATCGGGCATGGATTCAAGATTCAAGATTCAAGACTCCCTGGAAAAGTTTGGCCTGGATTCTTGAATCTTGAATCTTGAATCCATGCCCGATTTAAGTTAAATCGGTTTAAATCGGTTTAAATCGACGCCTGGATTCAAGAATCCCTGGAAAAGTTTGGCCTGGATTCTTGAATGTTGAATCTTGAATCCATGCCCGATTTAAACTTAAATCGATTTAAATCGGTTTAAATCGAGACCCAAATTCAACATTGCACTTTGCGCGGCTGTACTTTAGCACAGTGTTGTGCAAGCATCCAAGTCCTGATTATTCATTCAATCTGTTTCAATCTAGGCCCACATTCAAGATTGCAGGTCAAAGTTTTCTAGGGAATCTTGAACCCAGGCTCAACTGAAATTTCAGTCGGTCTCAATGGGTTTCACTCGTGCCTGGACTCGCGTTTGCAAAGAAGACTTGTCTAGAGAATATGGGTTCTTTCCTTATCAAATCCTGTTAAAGCTCATATTGAATTGCAAGTATATATTGGGAAAGGAACTCTATTTGAACTCGCAATCTCAAATTTTATTACCATTAGGATTCTGACCAAATATTTCCGTATTG